TCAGTTTCAGGGGGAGTAACGATTTTATTAGTGTATGTGGATGATATTATAGTAAGTGGGGATGATAAAAAGGAGCAGCAAGTGCTAAGTGAATGTCTTGCCAAGGAATTCGAGATCAAGACATTAGGGAGACTTAAATATTTTTTGGGAATTGAAGTGGCCCATTCCAAGAAGGGAATCTTCATATCTCAACAAAAATATATTACTGACTTGCTTAAACAAACAGGTAAGACAGCCTGCAAACCAGCAAGTATTCCAGTTGACCCGAATATAAAGTTGGGAAGTGCGGAGGAGGATATTGCTGTGGACAAGGAAATGTATCAAAGACTTGTAGGCAAGCTTATTTACCTATCTCACACAAGACCAGACATTGCTTTTGCTGTAAGTTTAGTTAGCCAGTTTATGCACCAACCAAAGGAAGCACATTTGCAAGCTGCTCTTAGAATTGTGCAGTATTTGAAAGGGACCCCTGGAAGAGGGATTTTGTTCAAACGAAACAAGAGTGTAAGTCTTGAAGCATATACGGATGCAGACTATGCGGGGTCAGTGGTAGATAGAAGATCAACTACTGGATACTGCACCTTCCTTGGTGGAAACCTAGTGACTTGGAAGAGAAAAAACAGAGTGTGGTAGCTAGATCGAGTGCGGAAGCAGAATTTCGAGCAATGGCCCATGGAATATGTGAACTTCTATGGCTGAAGATTATATTGGAAGACTTGAAGATAAAGTGGGATGAACCTATGAGGTTATATTGTGACAACAAATCTGCAATTAGTATAGCCCACAACCCGGTGCAGCATGATAGAACTAAACACATCGAGGTTGACAAACACTTTATCAAGGAAAAACTAGACAGTGGTATGTTTGCACACCATATGTATCCACTCATAACCAACTTGCAGACATACTCACCAAGGGGCTGAACTGCATTAACTTTGAAAGGATTATATCCAAGCTGGGAATGGAAAACACCTATTCACCAGCTTGAGGGGGAGTGTCAAAACCCACGATTCTCTCTGTGTATTTTAGGATGTTTTATATTTGCTATAACAATTGTATCTTGCTATTATTAGGTCTAGGTATTTATGATCAATCCCATAATTACAGGGATTTGTTCCTTTAAGAATTAGTTGTCCATATTTCCTAAAATAGGCTGCAGGCTCATGTATATATACAAGTCTAATGATCTAATAATATAATAAGAAATATATTATTCCTTTTAAATCTGAGACTATCTAATGAACCAAATTGTTCGAACGTGTTGGCTTCCTACTTGCAGACTGAGTCTTCCGTGTCTTCTTCTCATTCTGCCGCACAAATTTGACTTCAGCACAAGCGTCTTGGTCATCCACCATTCTCTTTAGTTAAGTCTATGTTTCCTTCTTTGTTTTTACATCATTTAGTAGAATCTTTTAAATGTGACGTTTGTGAGTTAGCTAAACATCATTGTGTCTCTTTTACTCCTAGTTCTAATAGAAGTGATGAACCTTTTGATCTCATACATTCTGATGTTTGGGGACCTACACCTATTTCTAATATTTCGGGTGCTAAATGGTTTGTGTCATTTATTGATGATTGTACTGAGTAACTTGGACTTTCTTGATGAAGGATAAGTAAGAAGTACCAGAAATATTTATTAGTTTTTATAACATGGTACAAACACAATTTGACAAGGGGATTAAAAGAATCCGCTCTGACAATGGCAAAGAGTATGCCAATCACGCCCTTTCAAATTTTACCAGTCAACGGGGAATACTTCAAGAATTTACATGCGTCGACACCCCACAACAAAATGGTGTTGCAGAAAGAAAGAATCGTCATTTATTTGAAGTTGCTCGAGCCATCCTCTTCCAAATGGCAGTTCCCAACTCATATTGGGGAGAAGCCGTACTGACTGCTGCCTACTTGATTAATCGGGTTCCATCTCGCATGTTAGGTAATGTCAGTCTTGTTCAATTTATGACTTCACGGTTTCCTTCTGTTCCTATTTTGAAAAGTCTCGAGTCTCGAGTATTTGGTTGTGTTGCCTTTGTCCATATCCATAAACATCGCCGAAGTAAGTTGGACCCCCGCGCAGTTAGATGCATCTTTGTTGGCTATCCCCCAAACAACAGAGGATATAAATGCTATCATCCCCCTAGTTGTAAGTACTTTGTCTCTAAAGATGTCACGTTTCATGAGAATTTGACCTACTTCACTCGTCCTCAGCTTCAAGGGGAGAGAGCATTCAGAATGTAGAATCTGATTCCGAGTTTTTGGTCCTACCTGAGTTGTCCGTGACTCCTCTCTTGAGTCCTATTACCGGTCCTACAATTGAGTCTCCCGAGTCGATTGTTAATCCTATGTCAAGTCCTATTACTGATCCTTCTATTATTGGTCCTACTTCTATTTTGGTCCCTCCTTTGTCGTCTGTGTTGCAGGAACCATCATCTTCCACACCAACAAAAACTAAGGCTGGTGAGCCAACCTTGGTGTATCACAGAAGAAGTAAGCCCGACCTGCTCCAAGCACAACTTCAATTGCCAGAACCGGAGGTAAGTGTTGAAACTCACGGTCCTATTAGTGATTCCCATAACTCTGACACTTGTGACACTAATACAGATGATTTGCCCATTGCTTTGAGGAAAGCGAAAAGGTCATTTGCCAAATACCCTATATCTCAATTTGTCTCCACTAAAAATCTTTCCTTGCAGCATTAGAGTTTTATTTCTGCAGTTGACTCTGTGGTCATTCCATCATCTGTTCAAGAGGTATTGAAAGATAGAAATTGGGTCCAAGCGATGGATGAGGAAATGAAAGCTCTTGAAAAAAATGGAACTTGGAAGATTGTTGATAGATAGGAAGGCAAGAGACCTGTTAGTTGCAGGTGAATTTATACAGTCAAACACAAATCAGATGATACTCTTGATCGTTACAAAGCTAGACTAGTGGCAAAAGGATACACAGACATATGACATAAATTATGAGGAAACATTTGCTCCTATTGCGAAAATGAACTCTGTTCGGATCTTATTATCTCTCGCTGCTCACTCCGGATGGGAATTACAACAATTTGATGTCAAAAATGCATTCTTGCATGGAAACTTAGAAGAAGAGGTGTACATGGAGATTCCGCCGGGATTTGGCCCAACATGTGGATCCAATAAGGTCTGTCGATTGAGGAAAGCCCTATATGGGCTAAAACAATCTCCTAGAGCATGGTTTGGAAGATTTACAAAAGCAATAGTGTACTTAGGCTACAAGCAGAGCCAAGGAGATCACACGCTTTTCTTTAAGCACTCGCATGAAGGAAAACTTACTATCCTTCTTGTTTATGCTGATGATATTATTATTATTACAGGAGACGACCTAGCAGAGAAACAATTGTTAAAGGAAAAACTATCAGCATAATTCGAGATGAAGGACCTTGGGAAACTCAAGTAATTTTTGGAAATTGAGGTTGCTTACTCAAACCAAGGCATTTTCATATCTCAAAGGAAGTATATACTTGATCTCTTGCAGGAAACTGGGATGCAAACCTTCACCATAAGTTGAGCCTCGAAGAAGAAAGTGCCAAAGTTGACAGAGTCCAATATCAGAGGTTGGTACACACTAGGCCTGACTTGACTTATGCTGTCAGTGTAGTGAGCCAATTTATGCATGACCCGAGAATGCGACATTTACAAGCTGTTGATCGCATCTTGCAATACCTCAAAGCTACTCCGGGAAAATGACTACTGTTCAAAAGAGGTGGAAACTTAACTATAGAAGCCTACACCGATGCTGATTATGCAGGATCAATAAGTGATAGAAGATCCACTTCGGGATTTTGCACCCTCTTGTGTGGGAACCTTGTCACATGGAAAAGTAAGAAATAAAATGTAGTGGCTCGATCAAGTGCTGGGGCAGAATTTCGAGCTTTGGCTCAAGGAATCTGCGAGTTACTTTGGATGAGGATCATTCTAAATGATCTGAAAATACAATGTGAAGGGCCTATGAAGTTATTTTGTGACAACAAGTCGGCAATCAGTATTGCTCATAATCCTGTTCAGCATGACATGACCAAACATATAGAGATTGACTGCCATTTCATCAAGGAAAAACTAGATAGTGGTTTAATAGCTACATCCTATATTCCTTCTGGACATCAACTAGCAGATGTGTTGACAAAGGGCTTGCCACCTGATCGTTTCAATCAATTGACTTGCAAGTTGGGAATGATTGATATTTATTCTCCAGTTTGAGGGGGAGTGTTGGAATTATTGGAATTATAATTCTGTATTTATGAGCATGTTCATGTACCAAGGAGTCTAGGAATCTATGCCTTGTAAATTACATACATGAACTTAGGAAATAACTTAAATCTTATCTTGTAATTACTCTTTTGAGTGTATATAATCAAATTACTTGAGTGCTTTGTAACTCAAGTATTTCACCAAATGTTTAATTTACAACATATGTCTAGGTCACTTTTAACTTATTGTCCTTTTTTTCGTTTTCCTAATTTGGTATCTGTTCTGCTCTGGAACTAGATAATGATTGGTCAGGTTTAATTCACGGTGCGTTGTGGTGATTCAAGGTTTTTGATGTGGTGGAGAGGGAGCAGAACTGCAAGGTTAGCATTCCAATGCTCAAGTAAATAAGGGAGTCAGAAGTGAAGTTTTTAGAGAAAAGGATTTGAATACCTCGATAAATGGCGCGATCCCCTTCTTTAAATATAAAAGGCATAGTTAGCAACTGAATTTGCGCAATAGGGCGTGGAAGGAGGTCTGTCGTTAAATCAGTCTGGATGGCGAGGTTAGACTTCGTAGGAGAATTTATCTGCTTGATGGGGAAAAGGAGTCCACCTGTTCTGCGCCTTACTGTTGCCTGTCACCGCTATTGGGTTTCTGTGCTTTTGAACCGTGCTGACGACCCAGAATAGTATCTAATGGCATACTATCTAGTCAATGGTCTTCGCAAACATTCAATTGTCTCCGGCAGTCCCTTAGAGCAGCAAACGTCTAAATTGAGTCATCAGCATGGGTAACCATGGTTGTGCTGCTGGAAGCAGTCACAGAACTGTTAACATGAAATGTTCCGAACACAAGGTTGTTTAAGGATAAGGACAAAGTCTAGGCCAATATCACAACGTAGTTTAATTTTCCTGTAGTTCGTGAAAGATGGTTACGTATAAAAAGGAATATTTTACTGCACTTGAGAGAATCCATTCCCCAATGTAGACACAATATGACTGACACTAAAATAAACTAAGGCGAATGAAGACAAAACAGTGAGTTAATGGGGTTCGTTGGAGACAACATTAGTGATGATGGGTTAGGCTTGACAAGTCGCTCCAGATCCAGTGGTTGCTGGTTGGGAAGGCGGCTGATGATAGCAGGGAATTGTGAACCGAAAATGAGTTTTAAGCTGCGTTGCAAAGGTACGGGGTTTTGGTACGGAATACAGCATCTTTGAGAAATTATACAAGTACGGGTATGCGAGTACAAGTATGAGTATAACTTAAAAAAAATACAATTATACAAATAACAAAGAAATTATATTGTTTAAATGACAACAGAACATTAAAATAAAAATATAATTTGATCAAAAAGAGTCAGTATTTACGCAATAAATCTTGAAATCATTGCTCAATATCAGTAATTTCCTCTTCAACATCAATAAAAAAAATGTCTTCTAGTTTTGTTTCATCGAGAGAAAAGACTAGCAACTTCAAGAATATCAACTTCATCAAATAGATTCAATTCATCTCTACCAATATCCCACATTTTTGTTACTCCTTCATTATAAGCCTTACTCTTTCTTAAGAGAAGACGAAGATTTGTACCTTTTTAAATTAAGCCTATTCCTTTTCAATGAGTGAATAATTTTATATATGCTCTAATTTCTCTCAGCAGGAGATGAAGAAGTTGTGAAAGGAATTTCAATGCAATGGATTGAACATCCATAAGTTACTCAAAATTATACCATTTGAAAAAAAATTGAGTTTTCATAACCAATATGTACCTGTTAGAGTACCGACTTAAAAAAAACAAAAGAAAACTAGGTAAGGCCTCGATACATACCGGACGCGTACCGGTACTCGGTACTAGTACTTTGCCTAAAATGGAGCACCCGTGCTTCACAAGTTTTAAGTTATGAAAAAGATATACACAACAGGGAGGTTGGAAACCCTATGATGCATAGGTACGGGTACAGTATTCGGTGCGAGTACTGGTATCGGTACGGGATACGACATTTAAAAAAAATTCAAGGTACAAGTACGTTAATAAAAATTAAGAGTTTTCTATAAAATGTATGAGTAAAGAACTAATTGTTAGATTCACAACAAAATATCATTATAAAAGTTTGAAAAAATAAAAAAATAATGTTAATATACAATATCAAGAAATTAAGTGAGAAAATAATGTTAAGAGAAAATGTTAAGAGAAAATGAAGTGAGAAAAAGGAGGTATGTGACGGAATTAATGTGTCTCAATTACGTAGTAGGTTACCTTATGTATAAATTAAAACAATAAATACAAAGATTTGCAGTTATCATAATCACTTTTAATTACATAATTTTAATTACATAATAATACTACAAACCTATTTAAATTATAGCCCTAATATTCAAGTACATATATTGAAATTGTAGTAAAATCTCTCTTTGCTTTTCTCCATTGGTTGTTTGTTTTAGCTTCCCTTACTTTGCGGTCTTCCTTTCCTGGAGAGAAGAGCATCCCAAACTGCACACTTAGTTGCCGGGAGATCTGGGAAGCATCTCTTCCTCATGGACAGTGATGGTGGAAAACCTCCTCTGCTCCTGCGGATGGTTGATGACTCAGACGATTTAAAATTTATGTTAGTACTAATGTATCAATTAATTTCAACAGATAAATTTATCCATTTCTGTAATATTGCCGATGTAATTGTTTGTGATTATGTAGGTCAGCTTTGCATGCATTCAAGCGTCGGGTGGCATATGCAAATGCGAATTATGATCGTATCCTTTTTTAATTTAGATATTGAATAATAACTCATCTTTAATGTTTATTAAATTTCCAATATTACAAAAGCTTAAGATATATGAATCTAGAATCAACCACATATTTCAAAGTATGAAGAGACAATTTTATGTTCTTGGTAAAGAGTTTATAGGCAGTTAGAAACCATGTCACCTTATCTAATAATAAATTGACAATTTCAAGTATAAATTGGCACAAAGGTGCCGATGAAACTTACAAATAAGGAAATACTTTTACGCATTGATGTTTCTTGACATAGCTTGAAGAGATGGTTGGATGGCGTACCTCCTCGATTCGCCGTCAACACGAACTTCCAAAGGTATTGTGCTAGTCCAATCTAATAATATTATTCTACCTTAATAATTCCCCTTGCCTTCAGAGACTAAATTCTGTTTTCTTTTGTGCTAGTCAAATCTTATTGTAAATGATGATAAATACCCACACATTGTTTATGTTGAAGGAGATAACACTAACGGCATTTACAATACAGAGTCTTCAAATGTTGGAGGCCAAACAGCTGATTTAGAAGGTTTATTCCTTATTTTATGACGCAAATTAATGCCGTAAAAATGATTTGTGTTGTTTTTTCTGTACTGCTCCTGCAAAAATGAGATTGTACTGAATACCTATGAGCATCACTACTTCATTTGGATCCATGTCTTGAGGGTCAATATGGTTTATTCTTAATTATTGATAATTAGTACAAATGTCTAGTTTTTCAAGAATTAAAAAAAATAAAATAAGAGCAATCTTCTATTCTTTGTTTTTGATTTCCTGTATGTTTTACTATGACCTTTTGCGAATTATTTTGTTTAGCATTGCTTGTAACTGAATAATATATTTGAAGTATCTTAAAATTATAAGTATTGATCTCTTTATATAACACCATTCTAATTTAATGGATCTAACTGATGTACTAAAACCCCGATATAAATTACTACTAATAATAGTAAAAATAATTTATTTACAACACTCCTCCTCAAGTTGGTGAATGAATATTTATCATTTCCAGCTTGGAAACAATCTTTTCAAAGTTATTGCTTCAACCCTTTAGTTAGAAGATTTATAAGGTTGTCTTTAGAAGAAACACATGGAGCGCTAATAAGACCACTATCTAACTTTTCTTTGATGAAGTGTCTGTCAACTTCATTATGTTCGGTTCTATCATGCTGCACTGGATTATGGACTATGCTAATAGTAGATCATGGTGCACTAGATTATGGACTATGCTAATAGCAGATTTATTATCACAATAAAGTCTCATTAGTTCATCACTTTTTATCTTCAAGTCTTATATAATTTTCAACCAAAGTAGTTCACATATCCCTTGTGCCATTGCTCCAAATTTTGCTTCAGCACTAGATTTAGATACAACACTTTGTTTTTTACTCTTCCATATCAGAAGGTTCCCGCCTAGAAAAGTACAATATCCGGTAGTTGATATTTTATCCACAACTGAACTTGCTTAGTCATCATAAGCATATGCTTCAAGACTCGCACTTTCATTTCGTTAAAAAAAAATTCCTCTACCTAGAGTTTCTTTTAAATATTGCACAGTTCAGAGTGCAACTTGTAAATGAATCTCCTTTGATTGGTGCATAAATTGACTGACTAAACTTACAACAAAAGCAACATCTGGTCTAGAATGTGATAGGTATATAAGTTTTCCGACTAATCTTTGATACATTCCCTTATCAACTGGAATATTTTCTTCTGCGTTCCCCAACTTTACACTTGGATCAATTGGTGTACTTGCAGACCTGCATGCTGTCTTACCCGTATCTTGTAGAAGATCAATAATGTATTTTTATTGAGATATGAAGATTCCTTTCTTAGAGTGGACAACTTTAATTCTCAGAAAGTACTTCAATATTCTCATGGGCTGTTTGGGAGTTGGTTTTTGGAGGGGAAGACTTTGGAGGGTTGTGTCTATATCTAGAAATATGTTTGATATTTTTAAAAAGTTTAAAAAACAATATGATCTTATATACTAATGTAGTATATTGTTTTTAAACTTTTTAAAAGTATCAAACATATTTCTAGATACAGCCGCAACCCTCTCAAGCCTTCCCCTCCAAAGACCAACTCCCAAACATCCCCTCAAAGTCTTAATCTCGAACTCCTTGGCTAAGTGTTCGCCTAACAATTGTTGCTCCTTCTCATCACCTGTTACTATAATGTCATCCCCATACACTAATAAAAAAGTTACTCCCCCTGTCTCAGAATGTTTGATAAATATAGTATGATCTCCTTGACTTTGTTTAAAGCCCAAACCTATCATAACTTTGATGAATCTTTCAAACCATGCTCGTATTGATTGCTTTAGTCCATATAAAGCCTTTTTTAATTTGCACACAAATATTGGTGGTAGTAAGTTCACAGTATCCAGAGGGTACAATCATATAGATCTCTTCATCAAGTTCTCCATGAAGGATGACATTTTTCACATCAAATTGATGTAAATTCCAATTGTAATTAACTGCTAAAAATAATATCACCCTTACGGTATTCATTTTAGCAGTTGGAACAAATGTCTCTGAGTAATCTACTCCATAAGTTTGGGTGAATCCTTTGGCAACCAATATTGCCTTGTACCTCTCAATAGATCCACCAGCCTTGTATTTTACATTGTATACCTATCTGCACCCTATATGTTTCTTTCCATTTGACAGAGAAACCAATTCCCAAGTATTGTTTTTATTCACTGCCTCCATCTCCAAGTCCTTGGCTTGTTTTCATTTCCTGTCAGACATGCCTCAGATAAAGAGTTAGGTATTATTATGGTGTTTGAACTTGTGAGGAAGGCTTTATGGGTGGGTGAAAAATGTTCAAAAACTTAGGTAGTTGGACATAGGGTAAAGTGACTTTTTAGTACATTTTCTGGTATCTTTTCTCAGGGCAATTGGAAGATCTAAATCCTTGTATTGTGGTGGTAGTACTGAGTTGGATTTTGTTTCTTGTTCATGAGAAAATTCAAAAATTGAATCACTAGTGCTTGAAGGGCCGAGAGAAGTTACCTCATGTAATATCAGATTGAATTCTTGGATATGAGTAGATTCAGGAATGTTCTTCTTCCTTGTATATACTAAATTATTTCCAAATCTCACATCAGTTTCAACATTTTCCGTTTTTTCATGAATCAAGTTTAGTCTCAACATTGTCACCACTAGTTTCAGTCTCAACTTCCAGTTCGAAAGTAAGGTTAGGAAGTAGAGTAGACTCATCTTTTGTACTTATATTCTCCCCCTAAAGATGAGTTTGAAGGAAGTAACTATCTTGTTCATGGAAGGTGACATCTCAAGAGACAGTATTTATAATAAGATGGTGGATGATAACATTTGTAACCCTTTTTGGGTAGAAGAATATCATATAAGACACATTTTAACGCTCTAGAATCAAGTTTTCTTCTACCATCACTATGGATATGGACAAACGACGTACACCCAAATATTTTAGGGGTCGAATTACTTGAAGTAGAAACATCATGATAGAATGACGATAAGGCTTCCATAAGAGTTTTGGAGGCAAGGACAATAGAAGGTAAGCGATTAATGAGATACGATGCAGTTAAGACAGCCTCGCCCAATACTTCTTTGGGACTTTATTTTGGAATACCATAACACGTGTCTGGTCTAAGAAGTGCCCATTCTTTCTCTCAGCAATCTCATTTTGTTGAGGGGGTTTTAACACAAGAAGACTCATGAATAATATCTTCTTTTTGATAGAAAGAATTAAGATTGTGGTTAAAGTAATTTCTGGCATTATCGGACCTAACTCTCTTAATACTCACACTAAACTGATTTTTAACCATAGAGAATAAGTGAAGAAACACATATCAAACTTTAGATTTTTGTTTTAACAAGTAGACCCAAGTAACCCGAGTGCAATCATCAATAAAAGTTACAAACCGACGAGCACCTGATATATTCGGAACATTCGACGGACCCCAAACATCAGTATAAATTAAGTAAAACGGAAAAGTATTCATTTTATTAATGACTGGAAAAGAGACTCACTTGTGTTTAACAAGTTGACACACCTCACAACAAAGACTCTCCACATCTAAACTTTTAAATAATGAAGGAAATAATTGTTTTATGACTCTAAGTGATAAGGCGACAATGATACAGATAAACCTTCTCTCTGTTGATTTTAATTGATTATGAATAAAAGGATTTGTTGTTGCTGAATAGGTTTGGAGGGAAATTTTGGTTATCCAAGTAATATAGGCCATTCCATTCTCTAGCATTTCCAGTTGTCCTGCCTGAATTCTTGTCCTGGAAAACATAAACATTGTTATAAAAACAACATTACATGATAGATTAGTTGTGAGTTTTTGTATGGAAATTAGGCTAGTGAACAGTTTGGGAATATGAAGGGATATTTTGAAGTATTATAGATAGGTTTATTTGGATATCTCCTTGCCCAACTACAGTTATAAGGGTACCATCTGCAAGGGATATTTTTTTATTGCTAGGACATGGTGAATAAGTAAAAAAGTGTGTGGGTAAAGGTGTCATGTGGTCAGTGACTCTAGAATCCAGTATCCAATATTGGTTAAAGGGTTTATCTGAGGCATTAAATCCAAAAGAAAATTGAGACTTACCAAGATAAAAGGAAAACGGAAACGAAAATTGAAAAAAGAACCGCAATTAAGGCGGTTAGGGTTTATTTATGCGGAAGCGAAACCATCTCAAACGAGAGCTCGTGATACCATGTTTGTAACTGAACAATATATTTCAAGTATCTTAAAATCACAAGCACTAATCTCTTTATATAAGACTATTCTAATTTAATGGGTCTAAAAGTCCGAATATAAATTACTACTACTAATAATAAAATTAAGTTATTTGCAACAAGCATTAAAAAAATATTTAAAGCATGTAACAGTTTTCTTATTGATTTTATTAAGCAAATAGATTTTATATATGGACCCCAAATTGAAAATTTTCAATTTTAAAAGGACAAAAAATGTATTTTCAATTTTTTTTTTTTTTTTTTTTGTCTATCTCAATTGGATGAGTGGAGTATGTTAAACTTAGATATGTCGTTTGGTATTCTCTAATTAAATCTGTGCAAATACGTTAGCTGGTCCCTAATTAAGAAGTTCTAATGTTCAAAGTAGGGGATTGGGATCCGTTAACTATAATTGTCTCACTGATATGTGATGAGTTGTACTGAACAAACTAATTCAGTAGCTGATTCTTTTGATTCTTCCTTAATGTAGAGAAGATGATAAGGGGTCTGACTAAGGTATCTTGGGAGCGTGTGGATGTTAGCTTTGAGACAAGTAAACAGCGATATGTTGCTCACAGTACAATTCAGGTAATGCTTTATTGTGTGATTTCCATTTGATGCAGTCTTTCCAAATGCTTTCTTCATGAAAATAGTTGATACTAGATATAATGTACTTTACAATGTTGATATTCTTCTTTAGCACTCATATTATTTGTGGCAACATTCAATTTCTGCTTTTATAGGAAATCAAGTTATGTCCAAAAGTGGATTTTATATCCGTGGTTAATTTAGAAAAGTGAATTATCACACCAATTGAGGTTATTCTGCAACGAGATTTTCTTGATTAAAGGGGATAAATCAATATACAGTCAATTCTAATAAATACATATTAAATACAAATACAGCCTGATACTATAATCTGTAACTGCAGATAACCAGGTCTTAAGACTAAACCTGATGACGATGTTTGGTAAAGCCTATAAAGTATTGCAATCTAGTAATACTCTGAATAAAAAACCATATTTTAAATAGCACATGGAAACTTCACCTTATGCTCTAATAATTTCATTGCTGTGGGTGAGGGGATTGTGCACTCTATTGACCATTGCTTCTGCTCGCTTCTGTTACATGCCAATAGAATAGTGTTATTTGAACATCCGAAATTTTACCCTATAAAAGTTCATTACTTATAACTATTGATTTGATAAGATGAGAGAAAAAACTAATTAAAAATTAAAATTGTAAAATGGTGTCAACAATAATAGAATTTGGCAATTTCTGGGCATTGATTCATCTGACTGAAGTTTTATTATATATATTTGACATTTGGATATTTTTTCTTGATAGAAGTTAAACCACTTTTTGGATTTGTGTATTATATGTTGTTTTTTACTTGCTATGAATCTTCCCTTACATTTTTTGTTCGTAGAGGAAGCGGTTAAGAGTCTCATATCATATTAGATAATATATGGCATAAATATGTACTTATAAGTGGGGTAATCTTCCTCACCCTACAAGTCGGTTTTGTAGGAATGAGTTAGATCAAACTCTAATTCTATTATAGTATCACGAGTCTATCAATTCGGGCCATTCATCATTTATATATGCATACCAAAACAAAAAAAAAAGTGTTGGGCGTAAGGGGGTATATTGGAAAAACTGTCTCACATATTGAATAATTCGGGCCACCCTCCGTTAATATTCACGCACCACACCTAATAATGCTGCTGGGCGTGAGGGGGTGTGTATTGGAAAAAACCCAAGTCTCACATTGGTTAAAAATAGTGTCTCCAAAGGATTTATATAGAGTGACACTCCTCATCCTACAAGTAAGTTTTGTAGGATTAAGTTACGCCTAACCACATTTCATAACAGAAGCCATTAAACTTGCAAGCTTCGGAAAACTATTTAGTATAGGCTGTTTAAGCGAAACTTAGTTCCAAAATGCTTCAAAGATACCGCTTTAGATTGATGTTCCTTGTTATGTTTTTTTTTTTGTGTGATTTCTCTCAGGTGAAAACGTACTGGCTGAATTCAGATGGTGCTGATGTGGTTTACCATATGATAGACAACTTCCATCTTTGAGGTCAACAAATCAATGTTGGTCGAATGTTTTGCATCATCACGGATGAAGAGTTGCACATTTTATAGTAGCATGGTCTGTTGATTTATATATTTGAATATGAAACCTACTATTTAGTGATTTCTTTATAAATTATCAATTTTATTAAAAAAAACTAATATATTTTATGAGAAAATAGGTGATACATTGTAGTTTTATACTGTCAATTAATAACAACCATATATTCAATTACATGACGCTTTTATTTAAATTTTTTTTTTAATTATATGGCAGATTATTTGTTTTCTATATGTAAAACTATTTTACACGCATATCAATTAAGACTCATTTTATTTTCAAACAACTCCTATAGCTAATAACTGCACATCTATTTATGCAATGATTTTTTATTTTTGTTCTCATACAACCCACCGTTTCAACATTTCAAGCATTCAAGCAATTTCTTATTATTTGTGCTCTACTTACTATACTTTTGCAAAGATAATTTAGTAAGGGTAAACAAACCATATAGCCTCCATCTTGTACTGTTTGAGTTATTCAAACTCAAACCTTCATTTGAATTTCTTTCTTCTATGTAGCCAATAATTATTCAGGAATGCTTATAAAACTCGAATAAAATATTAAAGTGTTATTGTTGCAATTATGAATTTTGTGTTTGGTCAGTGAAAATTATCTTGCATCACATGATATATGCTACCTTTTCTTCCAAACATCAATTTCCCCTTTAATGACATTTTTTAGAAAAGAATGTGTTTAATTGAATATTTCACACATGCCTGATGTTTAACCATCGATTCTAAAACCTGGATTATGATATCCCCTTGAAGATTGTCGTTGTAAGTGGAAACAACGAAAAAAACAACGGAATTATAGTACTGAAACACCTTTCTAAAATTTCACAAATATTTTAATAATAAATTAAAGTTGCATCAAAAAGGTGTCACATCTTCGAAGAAAACATCATACATATATATATCTCACTTTGTAACACTGGTTTCAAAAATTAAAACATTTATCTTTTAGAATATATCCTCAAGACTTCAACACATTGCAATAGAATATTGTCTCAAAACATCTTTACTAAATACTTTAAGAATCAAATACCATTACACTTCTTAATTTACAAGTTAAACTTTAAAACATCTTAAAACGGAATAAAGCATTCTCAACAATCATGTAAACAAGAACATATAGTTCAATTCAAACAATCCCAAAGATCTCATTGTTACATATCAGAGCAAGACCTCCTAAAATCAATGAAATAAAAGACACACTCTGTAGCTATCCTCTAAACTTCAACAGACTATTCCTGATCACCTGCAAGTTACCCACGTATAGAGGCAACATTTTCAAACAGAAAGGGTGAGTAATCATATTTATTATAAAATACATAAGGAATAAATATAGTAGTTATAAACACATTAGTCAGAAATCACATATAATCAAAATTTCATGTTACACTCACACCTTCTCCTCATTAGTCACTTATATCATCATCATCATATCATCAGTCAACAATCATCACAACATCATTAATTCACACAATCATAAAGCATCACATAATCATATACTATGTGAAACAACCGACGAAACAAATCATCGAGATGAAATCAATGAAGTCGCTATCGAACATTTTTTATCCTACAAGAAGGGAAAGGTAAACATCGAGTAAATCTGAGAAGGGTGAAATCAAGGTCAAACGACCGAGAGATACGGGTAAGGGAGTCGATTATACAAGGAAAATGTATTAGCACCCCTCACGTCTGTGGTATCTAACGGGATCCACTCTTGTTATTATAATCTAATAGGTGTGTTCTAGTCTAAAGCTAACAAGCTAAGGGAAAAAAATGCAAAGAGGGAATGCATGCAAAAGAAAATACGGGGAAAAGAAGGAAATATTTACAAAATTTCGCTTGCTTGGGTCCTGCGACCAAATGCCTACATATCCCCTTTTAAGGAATCAGAGCGTCGTAGTTCGGCTCAAAATTTTCCGTTTGTTGTATGCTTTTTACCTTGAAAAAAAGGTTTTAAAAGAAAAGCCAGGCGACAAAATGAAGTTTGGATTGGTTAGTTTTTTTTACCTTGAAAAAGATTTTTCGTATTATTAGAGTATTTTATGAGTTTGTCAAAGAAAAGAGTTTTACTTTTAAGGATGCAAAAGAAAAGGAAAAAAACATCTAAGGGAAGCTATCTAGCTATATCCCTAATGTTATCATATAATGATGGCCCAAAGGTTCGGATAACAAAAAGGGAAATATCTACCTACGTTAGCATGCATAGATTACAACCTAATGTCCAACTTGAATCGACAACGAGACAAGTAATCCTAAAGGAACATGCAAAGGTTACAACCTAATATCTAACTTGAACCGAAAACGAAACAAGCAATCCTAAGAGATCATGCAAAGGTAGAAAAAGAAGCACAACATAAGTGCAATAAAAAAAATTCGAGTTGAAGCCAAAACAAACACTGGGTGCAAGCTAATAGCAAACAACAGAGTCCAGAGGATCTCAAAGTGGGAGTAAAGAACTCTTTCCACTCGATTTGCTTGAGCACCAGCATCGAGTAACAACTCGAAGCATCAACGTAGAGCGACGCGAGCTAACATCTTCGAAAAAAATGGCAAAACGTGGGGGTTGATTATGAACCTTCCTCCACTTTATTTGATTCAATGGACAAGAATAGGCACGGTTCAAAGCATCAATGCATGGCGCAAACTAGGAACGATACAGACTAGAATGTGTGGGAGCCGATTGCGAGTCCTCCTCAACTTTATTGACTCGATAGCAAGAAAAATATAAAAGGGAAGGGGAAATACCTTCTATTGAAGGCTTTAGCAAAAATGCCTCTTTTGAGGTCTTTAAACGAACAACAGGAAATTTCTCCTTTTGGAGTCTTTTGCAAACAAAAACATCGCCTCATTTTGAGGACTTTAACAGAACAAACATTGCCTCAATTGAGGACTTTAAACAGATTGCCCACCTAAAATAGGGACTCCAGTCATGCATCTATATTCCTACTTCTCATGGCATCAGAAAAGCAGTAAACGAATGCGGAAAAATAAATAAGAAATATATCAAACATATAAGAGTCTGTTATTTAGCAAATACAAGCCAAGGAACCCGATAGTCTTCAAGCGAGCTAGCATCAACAACAAATCAAATCATATACAATATCCAATACAATCATCAAATATTACAATGCGAAAATAAATCTCAAGCTATGCACACATCCAACTAATGTCTTGCACCAAGCAATACTACACAAGCAAAAAGTAAAATCCAAACAAATGCATCGCTATGCATCGCCTTTCAAAACTTGTACAATGTCACAAGAAGAGTTAGAAAATAACAAGGAATATCAAATATAACTTAACAATCGACATCACAACTCAAAATGACATATTATCATGCATAAAGCAAAGTCAAACAAGTAACAGACGCGCAAAATAGAATACCAGGAAGCATGTGCATCGCACAATGAAACACACAAAATGTCGGTCTGAAATCGACATAACTCAATGCATATGTATAACAAAGAAGAATGCAAGTATAATAATGCATAAACCAACAATTAAAATGTATTTCGAGTATACTTTACAAAACCGAGGCAACACCTCCGTCATTTTAAGAATTAACCCGAAAAACACACCGAAATCGAGCCAACTTAACAACAATGTCTAATAATCAACTAATGAAGTACAAACATGCATCATATGAATATTAAAACTCAATGTACATGTTAGAAAGTAAATCGGACAGCATTGTACTCAATTTTAATGTGCACGAAAAGTTGGAACAAAATTGACCAAAAATAATACTGATAGCCACCAAACGTACCAACAAGCTCAAAGAAGTATACACCGCGAATTAAATCCATGTGCAAGTGTCCCTTACCATTCCCGGTAAGAAACTTACCATATTACAAACGTGCATGAAAAAAGTTTCGGAATCGGTAATTCTCAACATCAATCATCATTAAATGCACAAGCGAATTCCTGCGAACAGAAAATACGTGACGGAGGGGGAAATCCGCCCATGGAGTTTTCCAACACTGACGAATACATTATCAAAGGCATGCCTTTTTACAGGGGCACAAGAATTGGAGGTTCCTGCGGATACTCTTTTATTTTATCAAATACCGCTTGGCAATTGTCATTCCACCTCCCCACTTGATCTTTTTTCAATAGCTTGAATATCGGTTCACACGTGGCTGTAAGATGAGAGATGAACCTAACAATATAGTTCAACCTCCTGAGAAAACCACAAACTTCTTTTTTTGTTCTTGGCTCAGGCATTTCTTGTATTACTTTTATTTTGGTAGGATCAACCTCAATTCCTTTTTCGCTTACTATGAAGCCCAATAACTTCCCTGACCTCACCCTGAAGGTGCACTTGTTAGGGTTCAAACCTCAGTCTGAATTTCCTCAATCTTTTAAACAATTTTAGCAAGTGGATAAGATACTCATCTTCTGTCTGGGATTTAGCAATCATATCATCAACATAAACCTCAATCTCTTTATGGATCATGTCATAAAAGAGAGTGGTCATTGCACGTTGATATGTTGCCCATGCATTCTTCAAACCAAAGGGCATCACTTTGTAGCAAAATATTCCCCAAGGTGTAATGAAAGTAGTCTTCTCCATGTCTTCTGACACCATCTTAATCTGATTATAGCCATAAAAACCGTCTATGAAGGAAAACATATTAGCTTGAGTAGTATTGTCAACCAAGATATCAATATCAGGGAGCGAAAAATCATCTTTAGGGCTTTCTCTGTTCAAGTCCCTATAATCCACACATTTTCTGACTTTACCATCCTTCTTCGGCACTAGTAGGATATTTGAAATCCACGGCGGATAAGAGATAACTTTCAAGAAACCCGCATCAAACTGTTTCTGAACCTCCTCTTTGATCTTCTTAGACATCTCAAGATGAGTTCTACAAAGCTTTTGTTTAACCGGAGGACAATCTTCTCTAAGCGGCAGCTTGTGCACAACA